TGATTAATCAAGACGTAATACTACCAAGTAACGTTCTTAGCACATTCAATTGTGGATATTGCTCTTTGGGTACGTTTAAACAAAAAATCTATCACAAATTCCGCAATATTTGAAAATGTTTTCGGAAATCCAGCAGTGGTGCTTAAGTTTAGTTTATTTACCTATCTATCTCTATTTATCCATCTATATCTCTCTGTCTATCTATTTATCTCTCTGTTCATATATCTGCCTATCAAAGTACTCCAACAAATATCACCATTATTCTACAGGTAAACCAGTCTCGATTGAGTGAAATGCAAATAATTGGGGTCCCCGCATCCGTAGCTTTGGAAATTGCAACAAGGAACTCTGCCTACAGAAGGTAATCAACAATTACGAAGATTATTAAGAAATTAAGAAATAATCAAATACATAGTTGCCCTTGTGTCCTTTCTGAGTAATGCTTAATCCCAATATTTGTATGCTATTATCATGTCCCAGGTGCATCGGTCTTGGTTGAAGACAACACCATTACGCAGTGCAATTTAATGTAAACGGTCACTTGGCGTTGCCTTTAAAGCTGTAAATGATAAAGTAAATCTGACCAAGTTGGCCAACGGCAGCAAAGGCTTTCACAGAGGGACACTGTTGTATCTGAAAATATTACAACTGGCGGAGAAACTGGCAGAAATATGGGAAGTGAACCAAAACCCCGCGAACCATTTGGAAAGCGAGAAGAAATACGTTCTCCAAACCCAAAAGTAATAAGTTTGTGGACGACCTTCCAACTGTCAACTGAACCCTTCGCAATGTTAAGAATCAACTCGGGACAGTTCTCCTATCTTCTCTGATGACTTTCCTGTTTGAATAGATAATATGATGGCATGAGGAAGGCATTCAGCATGTTTTAAGTCCCAAAGTATTTAGATTGAGCTAATATGAAATTTCTTTCTATTTTGACTCTACAATGATTAGCCAAGATCCTAAATTCGATGATGAACAAAACGACAGTCCTAGACCTTTGCAATATAAAATTGATGAAAGCAGATCCACACAGTGACCATACGAGGAAATAACAAATCGACAGTATGGACCTCTGAAGATTTTTTTTTTTTTTTTGGGGGGGGGCGCAAGGTACGAGGATTAATTAGTCATGGAAGTAATTAATATCTCGTGATGCGATTCTTTTATTAAATGAAAAGTGTCGAATCAGCTGGCTTTCCGGATGTTGCCATTTTGAGCGACCTTAGAGTCTTCATCCTGAAAAGCAAATCTATTTCATGGCTGATGTCTTTCATCTAATGAAAATGATCAGAAACTACTTCCTTGATAACAGGTTCATGCAGCCAGATGGTAAGAAAAAATACACAAGCCGCATCCATGATTTGAAAGTGAAATCAGTTTTCCGAGGAACTACTTTTAAGACCTCATAAAGAAACGTCAGATTAGTTGCACAGTTACTTCAGTCACCTTCATACCCATTAGATACTGTGGAGAGAAAGGACTCAGGCAACTGGTGTAAAACCAGTTGAATTCGGTTTTAGATACTTGGTTTGACTTAATGAAGTCAAAGGTATTGTATGACCAAAATACATTAAAAATGCATTTCTAAAAGACCTTATATCCCTAACGTCATCTAAATAGTGTGGAATGTGCAAGGAAAAGTATATTTCATATACATCCAGCTGCAATATAAATTAGGATTGGCTTAAACCTTGCACATTTGCGTCTGATGGGAGGCCCCTGTAAGCACATGGTCCCTGTTTCTGGGCTAAAGGGAACAAAATGTACAATAACTATAAGCCCTTTATAAACACTCTTTTCAGTAATGTTGATGAGAGGCAAATACTAGAATAGACGACGACCTGGATAATGAACTGTCAGATATTTTGTGCAGATGATGAAGTCAGCAATAAACAATACTAATGCGGTAAATTAATTAGTGAATAAATTAAAAAATATACTATAAAATGAGCTTCAGGAACAAGAACAAATGACGTTTTTTATGTATTTTGCTTTTACTCAAATGAAAATAATGTAAAATACACGTAGAGAAAACGACTATTATTAATTTCGCAATTCCTACGCAAGATGTCAAAAAATCTCTCTCTCTCTCTCTCTCTCTCTCTCTTCTCTCTCTCTCTCTCTCTCTCCTCACTCACTCTCACTCACTCTCACTCTCACTCTCACTCTCACACTCTCTCTCTCTCTCTCTCTCTCTTCTCTCTCTCTCTCTCCTCTCTCTCTCTCTCTCTCTCTCTTCTCTCTCTCTCTCTCTCTCTCTCTCTCTCTCTCTCACTCTCACTCTCACTCTCACTCTCACTCTCACTCTCACTCTCACTCTCACTCTCACTCTCACTCTCACTCTCATTTTCACTCTCTCTCTCTCTCTCTCTCTCTCTCCTTCTCTCTCTCTCTCTCTCTCTCTCTCTCTCTCTCTCTCTCTCTCTCTCTCTCTCTCTCTTTCTCTTTCATTGTTCTACAAAATTTCAGGTTCTATCAGGTTAGCGATCCTGGCTTAAGAACGTGAGTCCGTTTTTCTGTCTGTCACTCCCCACCCTTCTGTCTATCCTTTCTCATTTATTTCTCTTTCACATAAACACACACACACGCTCACGCACGCACGCACACGCACACACACACGCTCACGCACGCATACGCACACACACACGCATTCATATAGATACATTGATACATAAAGATAGATTAATAGGTAGATAGATACAGATATAGATATGCCATGGCTGACTGATCAGTTCTGAGCCTTACCCAGAAAACCGTGAGATAGGTAAATGAATTTAGTCTACAAGTAGGTTTCTGAATCCTAACACTTTTTGTTTCCTTTTAACTGGTTCTCCAATCGAACGTTCTAGCAGTCGTCGAGGAAATGGAATAACTCGAGTACCGATCTGTGGTTAACTAGTGGAAAGATGCTCCTTCGTAAGCCCCCGTCAGACGCTGGGTCAGATAATCATGCATGTCAAGAAGTCTTCCAGACTACACCAAGTCAGGGAGGGCCGTCAACCGTGACCACCCTGCCCTCGGCATGGTTATAGAAGATCGCCAAATGGTAGACAAAACGGGTCCTGAGAAATTTTTGGCTCGATTCTTTACCAAGGAGTTCTTAGTCCTACATAAATATCCTGAGACCAAGCAGTGGACGCATGCCTCTTCCCGAACCGAAGAAGACCGAGGTCACAGCATCGCGAATGGGACACTACGTCCGTTTTCTAGGATGCACGAGGCGCGTTGCTGGTGGACTGTGTCCAAAGGGACCACGCCATTAGCGACCGACCAGCTGATCCGCTTGCTGGAAAATATTAAAGAGGCCAAGAATGCTAACCAGAGGGTCGACTCCATCGGTCAAATCTCCGACCTTGCTAGCGGCGAGGGCAAAAATTCGTGAGTTTGGCGTCCAGCCCATCCCTCATCAGCTGCAAGCCTCGCACCTTCCGACTCCTTCCTTTTCCGGAACCTGAAAGAGTTCAGGTATCGTCGGTGTCGTGCAGCCAGATCGGCTGGACGACACCGATGAGGTCATGGAAGTGGCGGCCGCGTACCTCGGGGCGGCCGGGATTTCTCTTCCAGACACACCGCCACCGGTGGAGGAGGTGTGTAGACAGTAGGGAAATTATCTTGAAAAATAAAACCTTGAAAGATTTCTATCGAATACCAATTTCTGGAGACTAAAACTTATCAGTCACCCTTCGTATAAATATATATATGCACACATATATGTATGTGTCCATATACATATTATATTTTTACCTTTCTATTAAGTATTCACATGTGATCATTCTAGCGAAAGTAGACCATATCACTAAATAAGAGATAAAACGAGCAGTGAACCCACTTACCCCTGGAACATGATGGTAGTAAGGGAGGTCATTGTGCATGCCCAATCTGGAGTCTGTGTAGGCCAAGCTGTTTGCCCCGACCTTGTTCCTGATGGGGTAGTGCATCCTGGAATAACAGTAATCGGATTGGTTCAGAAAATGAGAAAACAATAGCTGTGCAATGAAATAATTGTCCCTTTCGTTAATCTATAGCTTAAGAACCGGTATCGGTAGAGAAGATCATAAAATTAATGAGCTTAGATTCAACGATATACCTTGCTTTTTCTTATGCCAGACGGTAGTCTAGGTGCAAAACCATCCCTCTTCCAAGAGCAATGTAATTATAATCCTTTGACTGCGAAATTATTTGTTTTCCTCCATACCTTTTCTGATCATATCTTTGTGCAATGGCGACTATGGATTTTCCATCAACTTTCTAACTTTTTTTTCTAAATTTAACGTTTTAATGAAAACAATGGTGACGAACTGTGGAGTAAAAAGTGCAATCAACAGTGAAATAATAAGAACACCCGAAAGGTTTCTCTTCTCTCCATCGCCACAGAAGGCGAAAGAGAGCCTTTATTCAAAAGGAAAAACAGGCTGTAACTTTCTGCGTTTTTCCCACAAGCTGTTTCTTTCGTATCAGATCAGTTCTTTGGGGAGAGTTAAGCAATACTGCACTTCACAGACCAGAAAAAGCTCACCCATAGTGCGTGGGGCTTCACGAAGCCAACTTTATTGACGATACTGAAGCAAGCTTTGGGCTCCTGGGGGGTGTTCTTGATCAAGGTGATGCCCTTCTTCTCCAAGCTGACCAGCCACTTAAAGAGTGTCGCTTCATCCTCCATCAGCTCCTTCAAAATCAAAGGCATCCACGGTAAAGCCTGGTCCCCACAGCTCCTGCAAAATAAACAGAATTGTAGAACAGCATCTCGTTTGCTGTATCGTCTAGTGCATTTGGATTTACAATAATAGAACTTCTCTTATGCATTATACAAGTCTCCATGTGCCTTACTTACGGAAAAAATGGAAATTGCTATTACCATGAAATAGAAGATTATATAGTATATTATTCAATTATACCGTACACATAATCCTGAGTAAATAACGAAAAGAATCCGGATCTTTATGCTATTCTCTGAGCCTCAATTCCCGGGCAAGGAGGAGGAAGGGCCACGGGGCCTACCTTGTCCAGAGCGCCGAAGGCCCTCTGCGTCCGGCGGGACGACTCGGAGAAGGCGCGTCGTGGAGCCAGCGGCCGTGGAAGAGGCTCTCGTGGCCGCTCTTCCACCTCAGCCGCACGTCAGGGGCCAGCACCTGCAGGGATGATTGACCGGCGGGTCATGGGGGTGGAGTCAGGGCTCAAGGGTTGGAGAGGAAGGGTGGATGGCTGTGGTGTAGGTGTAGATGTACCTAGCATTGCATCTAGGACAGTGAAAAATATACACAATATTTGAACATAATTCTGAGGGCAGAGATATCCTCATTTAAAGAAAGAGTTGATATCAGATGAGTTCACAAAAATTACTATTTTATTGTTGCTCCTTTTATGAAATGTTTTTCTTTGTTTACTGCATATGATTATGTTTTTGTTCATTATTTCTAGTACTGTTGATGGAGATATAATACTGTCTCTGAAACGTTTACAATAAAGATCACCGCAACAATGGTTCTCTCTTTTATTCATATATATATATATATATATATATATATATATATATATATATATATATATAATATATATAAATATATACACAAACACACACACAGACAAACATACACACGCATACATATATGTAGATTATATAGATATGTGTGTGCGTGTGTGTGTGTGTGTGTGTGTATGTGTGTGTTTCTATGTATATTCATATGTATATATGCATATTGTGTGTGTGTGTTTATATATATATATATATATATATATATATATATATATATATATATATATATATATATATAATATATGTACATACATTCATATACATATATACACATACATATATATAAATATATATATATATATATATATATATATATATAATAATATATATATGTAATCACACAGGTAGTGCATATGGTTTTGTAATATAAACATACGGGCTACTGACCTCTACATGGACAGGGTATCTCTTGGTCCCAGTGTCGAGCACAAGCTTCCTCGTGAAGGACTTGTGGTCGTAGCAGAGATGCACTGGCAGTTGTCCCTGAGCCAGCAGGAGGGAAAGTCATGGCTGCTCCCGTCGCGAACTGAACCCGCAGGGCGTCGTCCCCGGGGAGGCCTCCACCACCTCGGCTGCGGAAGGGCAGTGCGCCGCTGAAACCAAGCACAGACGGTGACAGTGGGTCGTCTTTTTGCACTTAGTCCTTTGACAGAGGAGGAAATGCCCCGTAATGTTAGCAATGACAGTCATCAACAATGGAGAAAAGGTATGCATTAACTAGAATCCACAAAGATATTTATTACTAGTCTATATAAGTGCTCGTGACGTAATTTATATGAGCGTGACGCTATATTTATGTGTGTGTGGGTATGTGTGTTTGTGTTTATGTATATATGTATACATTACCGATATTCTCGTCAACCGTGAAAGGGAGGATACAATGTAGTCCTTAATTGTTTATACGCCAGTTAGCTATCTTTCACTAATAGCATGCGGGAATTTGAATAAAAGTTTAGTGTCAGAGTAGTCGGTAGCAGAGTAGAGGACATACATGACATCAATCAAGTATGTTATCCTGGATTCACGCATCATAAGTTGCGAGTATATTATTAGTATTATCGGTTTCAATATACCTGTGTGAGGGCACGTATGTTAATTCATGTTTACAGTTCGTTTCCCTGAACCACGCATTGAGAAAATATAGAAGTAACGATTTTTTATTATTATTATTATTTTATTATTCACATTAAACCTGCCATTTCCAAGAAATCACTTGACCTTTTGAAAGAATGATGACATTTTGCGCGTCTTACTCCCCCAAAAGCCACCAACGGAGTAAGGCTCTAAAAGACGCCTGTCTATACATAGATAAAAAAGTACTGGGGAACCCTTAAGGGAACTAACCCCCAGGCTCCCAGTTCTTTAGCTACACCACTCGCTTCTGCTGCTCTCTCCGCGCCTCTCTCCCGGAGACCTTCATTTCACTTGAGGCAATCCCTTCTAATGAGATTTTCCCAGTCAAAGGAGTGAGTATCAGCCATGATATTTGTATATGAACTAGACTTACCAGGCGCGTGGTCTTTCCCGTCCAGCGCCCCAGCGGCCGCCGTGCACAGGGGGCGAGGGGCAGTTGAGAAGGAGGGGGCGACGCTGGGGGCGCAGAGGTGAACAGACGAGGTGAGGTGAGGTGACCTTGCAGACGCCACTGAGGACTGCACCTGTGACATTAGGAGTGTGTTTCATGGCGGAGCAATGGACTAGCATTATGCTTGAGAGTATATGCTCTTATTATGTTTCCTATCTACGTACAGTTAAAAA